TATGTTGTTCCTTAGATATGCATATATGAAGGAATTTCAAAAAGTTTGTAGAAATAGGTGAAAAAGTAATGGAATTCTCCCATGAAACTTTTTGAAGTCCCCTTACACGTGCATGGAAGAAAGATGAGGCTTTCTACTCCCCATAAAGAGGAGTCTCAGAAACTCCCAGAGGCAGTTCTGCCCATCCTGAGGGTTGCTATGAGTAGCATTGACTAGATGGCATTGAGTGAATTTAAGTGCATAGAGCAGGTAAGAATATAGCTATGTGTATAGAGGTATATTTGTAGGCATATATCTACACATGTTTATGTGTATTGCATATATGAAGGGGTTTCCCCAAAAATGGAATTTTTCAAAGTTACGTATTTAAATTTAAAAAATCATTTTATTAGGGGCTCTTACAGCTCTTATAACATTCCATCCACCAATTTTATCAAGCTTATTTGTACAGATGTTGCCATCATTTTCTAAACATTTACTTTCTATTTGAGCCCTTGGTATCAGCTTCTCCCCCCTCCCCACCTCCCCTATTTAACATTTTTTTTTTTTTTTACAAAACAACCTTATCACCTTAAAAATACTCTCCATTGCACTTAATACATTTGTCAAATCTGCGCTTCCATTCTTAGAAATATTTTCAAACTCATCTGGTTGGATGGCTCCTCCCTCAGTTTTTTTCTTCACCTCTTCTACTTCGTCAAATCACTGTCCTTTCATGTTCCTCTTCATTCAGGGAAACAAAAAGAAGCTGCACAGAGCAAGGTCACGTGAGTAAGGTGTGTGGGGCAAGAGAGGCATGCTCTTTTTGCCCAAAACTGGGGCACCGAGATGGCTGTGTGAGCAGGTATATTTTCATGGTGGCAAAACCTGTCCCCCATCTGCTACGAGCCAGGCCTTTTTCATCGCACACTGTTTTGCTATCTTTTCAGAACCCCTAAACAGAAATTTTGATTAATAGTCTGATCTGATGGAACAAACTCCAAATGCACTACCCCCCTCACATCAAAAAAACAAAACAAAACAAAACAAATGAGCATCATCTTGATCTTTGGTTTCAGGTGATGAGCATTTTTGGGGGTGAGGTGACGATGCTGTCTTCCACTGGCTTGATTAATGTTTGATTTCAGGGGTCATAAGAATAGCACCATGTCTCCTCACCAGTAACAACCTTGGAAAAAAGTCTGGGTCACTTTGGAACTATTCTTTCAAAGGATGGCATGTTTTCAGTAGACCCTCGTTTTGCTGGTCAGTTAGAACCCAAGGCACGAATTTCATAGCAACCCTTCTCATTCCCAAATCTTCTGTTAAAATTCTCTGAACCAAGCTCCAAAATAGTCCTGATAAGTTCCCCGCTGTTGGTCTTCGAGCACAAGTATATGAATTTTGTCGACATTTTCGTCCGTTTGGGATGTTGACAGACGTCTAGAATGAAGTTTGTCATCAACAGACATTTCACCTTTTTGTAAAATGAGAAAACCACTCATACACTTGAGTTTTTCCCATATTGCTGTCCTTGTAAGCTATGTTCAACATCACAACAGTTTCTATGACATTTGTCCCGAGCAGGAAACAAAATTTCACAGTCGCATGCTATACTCTTAAATAGGCCATCCCCCCAAAAGAGGTTTGAGTGAAACTGCTTTTACAAAAAATTCACTGTGACCAGGGAGAACCTTCCCAGGAGACACCACAGGGTGCACTAACTCAGAGTGAGTTGTTTGATGCTTGCCTAGCGGGAAAACATGAATACTATGAAAGCTCTGCCCAGCAGAGCTTTTTTCTGTTTTGTTTTGTTTCTTTGGTGGGGTACCCCCGTGTATATTCCTATCTATAATGAATCACATAGGGGGCACAGTTTTGGATACTACCCAGACATGACCAAACCCCCTATGGGATTGCTTTATTGGGCTTGAAAGCTTGGTATCATAGTATCATGGGACAGCTTAGTCAAGTGGCATAACATAGTTCATAAAGATAATGCTCTGCATCCTCATGGCTTATGTGGGGTCTTAAAAGGTTGGAACTCGCCATCAAAGATACAG